CCTCCAGGCCTGGAGGTGGCTGATGAGGAAGAGGAGGAAGAGCTGGGTCCAGTGCCTGACGCACGGATTAACAGAAGGCAGAGGAGAGGAGAGCAGTGGAAATCTATGGGCCGGTCCTTGGGACGGAAGAGCCACCGCTGCTAGCGAAGGCCTATCAGAGCTCTGGGGATGAAAGGCAGGGGGCGGACATGAATAAATGTGGCAGACAACTATTCCTCTCCCTGCCGGAGGGACTTGTTAGCCTGCGGTGAGATAGAAACCTTTTGCCGGGGCTGCCGGAGCATCTAATGAATGTCTTGTCGTGTTTGGGGAGTTGGGTCAGAACACAAAGGATGATCTTCTGCTGAGAACTCACCGTGGATCTCTCTTCCCAGGGAGCCCCTTCCGTGTTCCTGTCAAAGACGTGGTTGACCCCAGCAAAGTCAAATGCTCGGGGCCCGGGTTGGGGGCCGGCGTAAGAGCCAGGGTCCCCCAGACCTTCACCGTCGATTGCAGCAAGGCTGGGCTGGCCCCCCTGGAGGTGAAGGTGCTGGGACCTTCAGGTATGGTGCTTTGAGTGTGGGGAGCGTTGGTTCAGCAGGGATTATGGGAGGGGAAGAAGTTGGGAAGAAGGACCTCAAGTGTCCCTCGAGTTGTGGGAGCTCCAACACTTTTCAAGGAGATTGGAGAACCTTTTGTCTGAAATGTTCTAGGGTCTCCTGCTTGAGCAGAGGGTTGGACTAGAAGACCTCCATGGTCCCTTCCAATATACTGTTAAGAATTTGATGGGTCAATCCTGCTCTAGTTGGCTTGAGTTGACCCAAAGCCACCTCAGATGCCTTCTAATGCTTTGCTCCTCTCTGTCCAGGAGTGGCTGAGCCGGTGGAAGTGCGTGACAACGGAGATGGCACACATGCTGTGAAATACACACCAGCTACAGACGGACCATACACCATTTCGGTCAAATACGGCGGGCAAGAAGTACCACGCAGGTGAGAGCGTTAAGGGTTCCTGGTCAACTTCTCCTAAGATCGCTGGAGGACTTCGGATCCTTTCTTGATGCCCCCATGAGTCACTGAACAATTGTGGCAAGAAAGGTCGTGAATTGGGGCAAAACTCACATAACACACGTCTCGTTTAGAGACAGGTGTTTGGGGCTCAATTGTGGTCATAAGATGAG